TCAATCTTGTCTCCTTTTAAACCCCATATTCTCTCCTCTCCTGTCCTTTCCTTTCTATTGTCACTAAAAGAGAAGCCTTTGTTCTGAGAATCTTGAAAATGGATTCTTTGATCAAGCTCTTCTTCTGCCTCTCTGTATATCTCCTCATTGGTAATTTTCATTCATCATATAGCTCATCACAACATATCTTTGAAACCCATATGATCTAAATATTAATTTATTTTTTATTTTTTATATACAAATTATGCAGGAGAAATAAGTAGAGTTGAGGGCTCGGATAAAAATCAGCGCATGTACGGATTCAGACCAACGAAGCTGTTTGTGTTCGGTGATTCGTATGCTGATACAGGGAACATTAAGAAGTCTCTCTCTAGTTCTTGGAAGTTTCCTTACGGTATCACTTTCCCCGGTAAACCCGCTGGCCGTTTTTCCGACGGCCGCGTATCCACCGATTTTTTAGGTAACTCGTCCTCTTCACAACCTTAGACTAAACTAGCAATATTTTGTTTGTATTATCTCAAACTTCTCTAACTTATCTATAATCGATTTTACTGACCAAACCAAGTAAAGTCTCTTGAATCACGTAACTGACTTTAGTTTTTACAAGTTAATATTTAATATGGTACAACTAATACCCGATTCTGTATAAGATTATGTGGAAATTGTGTTACGTGATTGCTTAATGTTAGGTACCTTAACAAATCAATGTTTTACCCCCATTTAAAACTAACGACCACATGTGTTAACAATAGAGGTAACTATAATGTGTGTGTAAATGATGACGCGTATTAAATAAGAATGGCTGGTGTCAAATCCAGTGCGCCACTCACTTAGCTTTTTCTTTTTGCCATCTTCTTCTTGTACTTTGCTTTTTTAAAGTGATTTCTTTTTATTTATCTTTAAAACTATTTTATTTAACTTGAAAAAAAAACTATTTTCCTTTCCCTTGCTATAACCTATAAACTTTTTCATGTAACAAAATCTCTCTATATATAAGTTATTGGCTATTGCACTATTTCACTTTGGAAAGTTTTCCTATTCAGAATCATATTTTCCAACAATATACAGTGAAACCTCTATAAATTAATAATGTTGGGACTACACCAAAATTTTATTTTTGTATTAATTTAAAGAGATATTAATTTATAGATATATTAATTAAACCAAAAACTCAATTTGGGACTATAAAATTATATTAATTTATAGAGATGTTGGTTCTACTGTATATGTGTTATGTTTGATAAACAGCTTGTGAAGTAAATTAGAGACCCGGTTACAGAAAAAAAGAAAGGAAATTAGAGACCTCGTATTAGCTTCTTTTTCTTGTGTTAGTTATGATACATCTAACGAAATTTTATAAAAAAATTCTCGAAATATTGTATAGGTGGTAAGGGAAATTAGAAAATTATATATTGGCGAGTGTCAGTGTTGCGTCAAACCTGTACTACTCTATAGTGTCTATGACCAATGTTCTTTTCCTGACAAGTGACACTCTTTTTTCTTAACACGACGAGTGACACTTAATACATCATGATTCATAGATAAAAAGGATTTTTTTTCTTTTTGTATTTGTAACCTCCAAAACTGATAAATATTTTATGCGAATTGGCATCTTAGAATTTTTTTCATTCTTATTTTTATTCTCATTTGAACCCACAATTAATGTAAGTTCAGTTCTTAACACATTATATACTAAGATTACATGCTGTTTTTTTTGTGTGTGGCTAAATTGTTATTCTCATTTGAACCACAATGTAACTTGAGTTCTTAACACAATATATACTAAGATCACGTTGGCATGTATGATATTAATATATATGGAGGTCGCATATAACATATCAAAAATAAAATAGTTTAGTTATTTCTTTTGCCTTCATAGTATTCGGTGCTTATCTGTTATCTTTTCTTTATGTATCTTTTTCTAAAGGTTAACATTTTCTTTTTGAATGTTTCTGTTTAATTATCTCATCGTAGCTACTAGTAGGGTTGGGCATTTTATTCGTTAAATTTGATTCGATTCATTATTCGTCTCGATTCGATCCGAAAATTCCGGATATCCGTAAATTTTCGAATCGAAGCAAATACTAAAAATCAATATTCGTAAAAATCGAAGCAAATCACAAATATTAAATTTTGGGAAGCGGATATCCGATCCGATCCGGAAATATATATATATATGTATATTTTGATTATATTTAAATTTTTAAATGTATAAAACTATTATTATAGCTTATGATTTGACTAATTACATTCACATTATTACTTATATAAAATTATTAGATAAAAAGAAGAGAAAAATTATGAAAATTATAAAAAAAGTCTTAAGTTTTGTGTTATTATAGTTGTTAACTTAAACATAAAAAATTATAAAATATGTAAATTTACTACTTCTTTATTTTTTATTTTATCTATCATGTAAAAAAAATTTACAAAAATAAATTTATATAAGATTATTTGTAACGGATGAGATATTCGTAAGTATTCGTAAATATCCGCAAATATCTGTTTATTTTCCGGATATCCGTTTTTCCGGATATCCGTATTTTTCCGAAGCAAAGCAAATACCAAAATTAGATATCCGTAACATACGAAGCAAATCACAAATACCTTCGAAAACCCGGATATTCGATCCGTGCCCACCCCTAGCTACTAGTGCTTAACATCAACAAAGCGACACTTCATGCTTCCTTTCCTTTTACCCTTTATGATTATTATATGAAAAGACTATAAAGCTAAACACCAACATATGCGCTGTCACAGTCCATACATCATGGTTAAATATTCTAAAAGTTAAAGTCTGTATCAGTAGTCTTTCTATATAGATTTCTTAGAACTGATGAATGTCTTATGATTCCTAGTTGATGTAAAAAATGTTTTTATATACTAAAAATATGGTTTGAAGTGTCTCAAATTGCAAACTTCAACCAAAAGTATAAACTATGAGTCTACAACGGACAGATTTTTGCTTAATTGATTCTTGTTAATATATAATCGAGTCCGAGAATTTCAATGGAATATAGCCATCATCATTAATATACGTTATAAATCCCTCTTTGAAGCATGCGTATCATCATGAATTGTTCAATTTAAATTCAAGCTATTCAGATGCTAACTCTTTCTAAAATTCACAAAATAATATTTTATATTTATAGCAAAATTCGTGGGGATAAAATCACCAATCCCATACTTCTGGAAAGATTACGCGGGAAAGAAACGGTTACAATACGGAATGAATTTTGCGTACGGAGGAACAGGAGTCTTCAACACTCAAGTTCCGTTGCCAAACATGACCACTCAGATCGATTTCTTCCAGAACATTCTCACAGCCGGAGACATCTACTCCTCCTCCGACTTTACTTCCTCCGTCGCTCTCGTCAGCGTCGCCGGCAACGACTACTCCACTTTCATCGCCCAAAACCGCCCTGCCTCTGTAAGAAAAACACTACATTTCCTACCTATCTTACTTATCATTATTAATCTCTTTTTTTTCAAAAAAAAAAAAAAATCATTATTAATCTTTGTCAGGACCTGTTCTAGCCACAACCGGAAGAATCTTTTCGATTTTGCCTCCAAATTTTTAAGAGCATTATATATAGATTCTATAGTTTCCAATCATAAAATTTACTTATTTAATTAAGATTAATCTAGAATATTTATATGGCCTTTAAATATATCCGATATGGTCTTTTGTTCCAACTTAGTTAATATGTAATGATATGAAAGGTATTCGCTCTGTTTGAGAAAGATAAATATATATTTTTAAAAACTTTTTTCAAAAAATTACACGTTTATCTTTTCTAGTAATTTTTTAGTAATAATAATAAATTACAAACTTATAAAAAATCAAATTATATTATTAAAATAATGTAAGTCTAAAAACACATAAACCTTTTGAAATAGAGAGTATTAGATTTTGTTTCAACTGAGTTTATTCATTTCTTATCTTCATTGCATTTCACAGGACTTTCCGGCATTCATAAAGCAAGTGGTGGATCAAACAGAAGTGAATCTGAGGCGGATCCATGCCTTGGGAGTGAAAAAAATAGCAATACCGTCCCTTCAGCCGCTCGGTTGCATCCCTGGAATTACCGTTGCCTCCTCGTTCCAGCGTTGCAACGAGTCACAAAACGATTTAGTGAAACTTCACAATAACTTACTCCAACAAGTCGTGACAAAGCTCAATAACGAAACTAGACAGTCTACTTTCATCATCATTGATCTCTACAACGCTTTCTTGACCGTGTTCAAGAACAAAGGAGCTAGCCCAGGTAAACCAATTAATTTTGATACTTGAAAAACATTTTTTTTTAAACTAGGCTGATTGATTGGTTTTATGGGAAATGCAGGGAGTACAACGTTTGAGAGTCCGTTGAAGCCGTGCTGCGTAGGCGTGAGCAGTGAGTATTTCTGTGGAAGTGTGGATGAAAAGGGAGTGAAGAAGTATGTGATATGTGATAACCCTAAATCTGCTTTCTTTTGGGATGGAAGTCACCCAACAGAAGAAGGATGGAGATCCGTTTACTCGGTTTTACGTGAAAGTCTTACCGCGTCTTTTATTAAAGCGTGAGGGGCAAGAAACACATATTTTAGGGTTCTTCTTTTAAAGCTAAATGTTTGTTCTTTTTTTTTTTCTGATTTTTATTTAGTTTCTCTTCATTCATTTGTGTTTCTGTGTTGAATGTTAAAAGGTTGTGTGACTAATAAAACCCCCCTAAACTTGTTCATTTTTATTATGGATTAGTATCCTATTTAGTTTCGATCAAGTGAAGAAAAAAAAACTGAACGGTAAGAAACTAAAAAACCGGAAGTTAGGGTTGAACAAGATCCTAATAACAAGCCAAATAACTCAGTCTTATACTAAGACTTAGCCAAAATATACAGTTTTAAAAAGGATAAGTGGCTATTAAGTACTGTCATCTTTGTTTTATTAGCACTAGAGTGTAGATTTTCTTCTCAAACCAAAACAAATCTCAGTTTTACTAATCTCAAATATCATAAAGATGGTTCAGAATATGAGTTTATGGTTGTTTATACTCTGTTTTTACCTCGTTAACACCGGGTTTAAAGCAGAAACTCAAGATAAATTCGACAAGAGAGAGGTAATTATGTACGAGTGAAGAGAGTGATTTTTGTGTGTTGGTATGATGAGACGATCTAAATCACTCATCCTTCTCGTTCTGTTTTATAGCCCTACATTGTGTACATGGGAGATGCAGCTGAGAAGTATCATGCTGAAGCAGCTGAAAGCCATCATAATCTTCTATCAAAAGTCATCGGAGAGTGAGAGTCACAGTTTTTACTCATAGAATCTAGATTGATTTATCGAAAACTTTTATATTTTTGTTGGGTTATTGCAGTGAGAGCAAAGCAAGAGAAGTAAGAATGTATAGTTATGGGAAGAACATTGATGGATTTGTTGCAAGACTTCTTCCTGATGAAGTAGAGAAGCTATCACGTACGTAACAAAATGTCAAAGAAAAATTTCAAGCTTTTCTCCACGTGGTTAGCTAATTCTTTTCTGATTTGTTTCTGTGCAGGCGAAGGAGGAGTTGTATCGGTGTTCAAGAACACTCAAAGGCAGCTTCACACGACAAGATCATGGGATTTTCTTGGATTTGTTGAGTCTAAATACAAAAGAAGTGAAGCGCTTGAAAGTAATATCATTGTGGGAGTTCTTGACACAGGTAAATAAACTTAGGTTACTAATCTGAAAACATAAAAACCTGATTTATATATAACACCTTTTGTTTTTGTTTTTGGTAAAAAGGAATCTATATAGATTCACCAAGCTTTGATGACAAAGGCTTTGGCCCTCCTCCAGCTAAGTGGAAAGGAAAATGTGTAACTGGAAACAACTTGACTCGTTGCAATAAGTACAAAATGCTCTGTTTCCATCATTTTCTTACAATTTGGTATGTTATTCTACTTAATTTTGTTTGATTTTAATGTTTAACACAAAACAGCAAAGTGATAGGGGCAAAGTACTATCACCTGAAACGACCGAGTTATGACGATACGGCTGCGGACTACGATGGTCATGGGACCCACACATCTTCCACAATCGCTGGTGTTTCGGTCTCTAACGCCAACTTATTCGGTATTGCAAACGGGACAGCACGAGGTGGTGTTCCATCTGCTAGAATAGCCACTTATAAGGTTTGTTTTTGCTTACTATGTTTTTTCTTGGAGCAGAAGCAATCTCTGACAGATTTGTAAACTCTCTGTTTAGGTCTGCTGGGAGGAAGGATGTTCGGATATGGACATGTTGGCGGCATTCGACGAGGCGATCTCTGATGGAGTCGATGTAATATCGATCTCCATCGGAGGAGCCTCGCTTCCGTTTTTCGAAGATCCCATTGCTATTGGAGCGTTTCACGCTATGAAAAGAGGGATTCTCACAACGTGTTCCGCAGGTAACAACGGTCCCGGTCTGTTTACGGTTTCTAACCTAGCGCCGTGGGTGATGACCGTCGCGGCTAACTCGGTTGACCGGAAGTTTGAAACTGTTGTCAAACTCGGCAATGGATATACCGCAACTGTAAGTATGCTTTATTTCAAGAACTGCAAGAACCATCTATCTTGCTTGTATAGCACGTAAACTAAGAGTTCAAGATCTTTTTTACTTTTGCAGGGAATTTCCGTAAACGGGTTCAATCCAACGAAGAAGATGTATCCTTTAACGAGCGGTTGGCTTGCGTCTAACGTAACTGAAGGAGACTATGGAGAACCAAGGTAATTCACAGAAACAGAGATCTTTCTCAACTGTTTCAGAGTCTTGTATCTTTTTTGTTAAAGAGGGGTGTGAATTTAATGCAGTGCTTGTGAAGTTGGGACAATGGGGGAAGATAAAGTGATGGGGAAGATAGTTTACTGTGAAGTAGGGCGTGAAGAAGCAGGTGGAAGCAGTGAAGGTCAAGACCATATTATTAGATCTTTAAAAGGAGCTGGCGTGATCGTCCAACTTCTTGAACCGACTGATATGGCTACTTCAACTCTCATTCCTGCCTCTTATGTCTTCTTCGAAGACGGTACAAAGATCTACGAGTACATCAACTCCACCAAGTAAATCAATCTCTATCTCTTTGTCTCTCTTCTTACTTATGTGGTGCTTGTTCCTCACGCATCACCCTTAACAGAAATCCTCAAGCGGTTATTTACAAGACACGAACAAAAAAAATGGTAGCCCCTTCGATTGCTTCCTTTTCAGCAAGAGGGCCTCAAAAAATCAGCCCAAACATTCTCAAGGTTTCTCCTCTATCTATTTGTCTATCTTTCTATCTATTTGCGTTCAAATGATTTAGTTTGAGCTCGTTTTTCCGTGACAGCCTGACATTTCAGCGCCAGGACTAAACATTCTGGCTGCATACTCAAAGCTAGCAACGGTAACAGTTTATGCAGACGACAAAAGACACACACTATTCTCCATATTGTCAGGAACGTCAATGGCATGTCCTCATGCAGCAGCTGCTGCAGCTTATGTCAAATCATTCCATCCTGATTGGTCTCCAGCCGCTATCAAATCTGCCCTAATGACAACAGGTAATTATCACATAAACCCTAAAACAAAAAAAAATTCAAAAATTAATGGACAGTTTAAGTCTTTACACTCCATTACAGCTACTCCAATGAGAATCAAAGGCTTTGAAGCGGAGCTAAGTTACGGATCGGGTCAAATAAACCCGAGAAGAGCGATACACCCAGGTCTAATCTACGACATTACTGAGAGTTCTTACTTAAGTTTTCTATGTAAGGAAGGATATAATAGCACAAGCATCGGACTCTTACTTGGTGGTAGCAACGAGACTAAGAAGGAATACAGATGCGTGGATCACAAGCTAGGGTTAGGATCTGACGGGTTGAATTATCCGTCGATGCATAAGCAGGTGGGTTCCATGGGAACGAATGTGTCAGAGACTTTTTACAGGACGGTGAGGAATGTGGGTTACGGACCGTCGACTTATGTGGCTAGGGTTTGGGCACCGAAGGGAGTGAGAGTTGAAGTGGAGCCTAGGGCTATGAGTTTTGTTAAGCCTGGAGAGGAGAAAAACTTTAAGGTTGTGATTCATGGAGTTATGGAAGAGACTATGAGAGGAGTTTTGTCGGCTTCAGTGGAATGGGATGATTCAAGAGGGCATCTTGTGAGGACTCCCATTTTGTTGTTTCAAGCGGGAAAACTGTAGAGAGGGAGATCTTTTTAATCACCGTTTGTTTTTAATTTTTAGTGCTTGAGTTTTTTTTTAATCGTATTAGTGTTGTTGAGCCAATGAAATTTGAACCAAATAGGAAAAAAATTTAGTGATAAATCTTATTATATATATGTGTGTGTGTGAGAGTAGGCCCATATTATTAAACTCAGAAAAACAAAAACTCAACCTCAAATCTAAAGATTCACTAAATATCAATATATTAGTTCTGCATTTACGTATAATAAGAACTTCAGTTTTCATAATGGGGTAGCTTCTTCTACAAGTAATGAAAACTAATCTGCGTATATGTAAAAGTTTTGCTTGGTGAGAGTATTAAGAAATTGTTTCAAACATATGAAAAGCAAATCCACTGTCGTTAGCTAGTTTGTCATGATATGTTCGATAGCAAATCCACTAACTGTATGATATGTTGCTTTTGTTTGTCATTAACTCCTAAGAAATAATTACTTCTTCACTCCTTGTTACCTCTAAGGAAAGCCTTGTTGGGAAAATAACATGAAAGCTAAGATCACAACCAGCAGACGGATTGCATAACCATACTTTTTGTTCTGTTTTAAATTATAATCAGAAGGTAAGTAACCTTTTAATCTTGTATACGAATGTGCAAACGAGCAGCTGATATTCTCAACAAGATTACAAGCTCATTATTATTTCATATGACCAGTAAACATGACGTAAAACACGAGCTAACTTTATAATAGATCGCAAAATGAATGTTGAGATGTGTATATGTGTTGAGATGAGAATATGTTCACAGCATCAATGATTATATCGTGTTTCCAAGTGGACTGGGGATATCATATATTCAAGCGGTTGGGTTGAGGAACCGCTGATTTGATCAATGGTCTTAGCAAATGATCATTATTGTTGCAAATGATGGACGCTTCTGTAAGAAGTGAATCAAGAACCACTTTTTATATTAAAAAAAAAAAGAAAAGAAACACAACAAACTGAATAGTACTTTGAATAATTTTCAAAATTTGTGTCTAAAAAACATGTAATATACCTTGTGAAAATGGAACTGAATAATGGAAACTACTTCCTAATAGTTAGAAGATCTTATTTGATCCAAACAACTTTATTCAAGTGACCCCTAAGACTCGGAAACCACCCCGACTTATTCTTCCTATTTCATTAGACTACAGCCTCCACGGCTCAGTGGTAAACAAACATAATGCATACTACGTAAACTTAGATGTTCAAGGGAGGTAACAAAAAAGTCTCAAAAAGAGAGAAGAAAATTTATGACGGACTTAGTGCAATAACCCTTAGATTATGGCTGCAACTTGACTGAGGATTCAAATTCCGTGGGATCTAAAGCCGTTTATTTTCCATCCTTCAGAGCTAGCACGCGCAAAAGCTCATCTATCAAAAACAAGTGCGATTGTTAGAAAAAACATATTAAAAAGATACTGAAATATAATAACATAATAATTTTTTTTTTATAACATAATAGTTACAAAGTGGTTTACCTTGCCATAGTGATAAATACGTAGATTTGTTTTTCATACCACTAGGTAAAGTTCTTACAATCCTGAATCCAAAAAGGAGTTGAAACAAGAAGAGAAACAAAGATGATTGCAAATGTCTTTTCAAGCTTTCAGATGCATCAAAAGGACTTGAAAGGAGAAGAGGAGGTTGATTCAATCAGTGGAAGGAGATGATGAGGTTTATGATCTTCAAATTGATGCGAGAAGAAGCAGAACAGTTGCGCTTGTTAGAGAAGTTTTGGAGAAGATTATCTCTGAAATCCCGGACAACTCGTAGGATGATCAATCTATGGACAATTTAATAACTAAGGATCAAGAACTATTCGAAAGAAACTCTCAAGTCAGTGAAGAGCCTAGCACCTTCAAACCAAAGTCTAATGAGAAAAGAGTGAAATGATGGAACAATGTGAATAAGGAAGCTGGAGGGAAGAGAACTCTTAGAGGAATGGATGCTTGATTATGCTTACATAAATAAATAAATAAAAACTAAACTTCAAAAAGATTTCACTAAAAATTAATATGGTTTTTATAGTCAGGTAGCTTCCGCCACAAGTAATGAAAACTAATCTGCATATTATATGTAAAAAAGGTTTTGCTTGGTGAGAGTTAGAGCACACACATTGGTGTACCTCCAATGTGAATCCTTAACCATTTTAAACTAATTTTTTTTTCAATAGTTAAGGACTCTAATCCAATTTGTATGTCCATTGGTGTTCTCCATCTCGAAATTCTTAAGTATAAAATAATTTAATTTTTGAAAATATAAAAATAAAATTTTATTTATGGAATGATTAAATATGAAAATACAACAATGATTAAATATGAAAATACAACAATGTCTAATCTTCATCACCAAAATTGATACGAAAATTTCCCCAAATCGATTGAGTACCAAATCCGAACCCTAATCGTTTAGAAACACGAACTAGAAACAAAAGAATCCCCAAATCAATTAAAACTAAACTCGTTTTCGAACCCTAAATTGATACGAAAATTTCTCCAAATCGATTGAGCACCAAATTTGAACCCTAAACAACATAATCGTAAGGTAAATCCATTAATCCACTAAAGAACAATCGATTTACCTTGTTTATCGGAGCAAATCAAACGAGAATACGCGGATCCCTTTCTCGTTGTCGCCTCTGATTTTTTTTTCCTTCTCTGCTTTCGAAATGAGACACGCTTTTGGTTTACACACCAAACCCTCTTCCCAAACCAAGCCACGTCACGAAGGACCAACAAAAAATCCTTACCGAAGAATCAAATCCTTCTCGGTTAGGAGTTTTTAGTTAATATTTTTCCCAAAATTATATATGATGATGCGCTAATGATTGTTTAAAACCACCGATGTGGCTGGTCTTATAAAATTGTTTCAAACCAGATGAAAAGCAAATCCACTATCGTTTGCTATTTAGTGTTCGATAGTATAAATATATATTTATAGTTCAAGAAAATGAATTGCTCTCTAAGGCCCACAAGGTCCAATAGTATGCTTTATATTGTTTTCCTACTTTGATATCCAAAAAGCCTCCAACTAACATAAGCTCAAACTAGTTTATCAAGAAAACAAACACAGTTAAGTTGTCTTGAGTAAATGATATTTTTACATAATACTAGGGCATTTTCCGGGCTACGACCAGATTAAATTTTTATAAAATTATTAAAATACTCATGAATTTATGGATCGAAAATATAATTATATGTCTATCAAAAATAAAACTTGTAAAAACATAATATAAAACTTGCTTAATGGTAAGTTCGAAACAATTTAGTTTACGCATGCATTTGTTTGTCATCTAAAACATAGAGTTGCTAAAAGATCTAACTAACTTCATAGCCGAAAATGAGTGCAAGATTTATATATTAAGTTTTCACTAATTATCAATACATAATTTTCTTCCCATCACTTGTAAAGAAATAAATCGTAAAAAAATGTTGAAAAATATGTCTACGATAATTCTTGGATTTTATACATCTTTTGAATTCCAAAAAAAAAAATTGTTATGATTTGGAAGATACATACACTGATACTAATTAGTTTGCTAAATTTACTAAATGTGTCCTTTTACATTTAGAGAAGTTATTTCATTTTTGACACTTTTAAAAAATTATATGGATAAGAACAATATTAAATTTAGTAAATAATTTTTATTTTTTATTTAAATAAACTATAATAATATAAGTTGGATAAATAACAATGAAACAAAGCTCTTTCATGTATCAACAGAACTGTCTTCCCTCGGGAAAGACATGGACATGTTTTATATTCAAACACATGGTGTAAATTATACAATAAGTTAATTTTTTTAATACTTTACCACACCATTCGTTGCTCTTAATGAAATCAATTCTGAGAATATGATTGGACGATTGAAGACCAGCTTCTCTTAGAGCTTTTGATACCTTTTTAAAACATTATCAAGTTAGACTTTTGAAGAACATAGAAATAGCACAGAAGTGGTGGTGGTTAAAAGTCAAGTCAAGTCAAGGATGGAAACTGAGCTATAAAAAGACAAAGAATCCTGGTCAAGGCAGGAGAAGTGGTCAGGTATTAGAGCATACTTCTTCTTTGCATTGTTGATCTTGTCTAAAAACTGAGATAGAAGGATCCAACGGTGATGGTTAATCAGATGCAGACGACATTGTTGATGAGAGCATACTTCTTCTTGGCGTAGACATCTCTTCTTCTTCTTCTTCCAATCTTGAAATATGGCAAATGTTACCTACAATCCTAACATTATTGGCCTCCTATCAATCATAATCATAACACATCTTAGCTACAGAGAGAGCTAGCTACTGGATATCACTGGTCCCACGTGGTTTCAGCTTATTAAGGATGAATCAATCGTTTAAGATTATGGTTGGTGAAGAAATCTATTGTAGAGCCAACTACATAAGCATGGAATCCGGTGCTAATCAACAGTGATGAACTTTTAAATTCAATTTATGATATGATACCTCTCTCAACGTTTCTAGATATTTAGCGAAAAGCTCATTGTACATTATTTGAAGATCAGACTTCTCAGCTTGTAGTCTTTCATAATCAGACGCTAAGGACCTTCTAGCTTTTGCTGGATGAATCTGAAAGCAAAACCAAAGAAGGATTATATAGTTATGGATCATAAAAAAACTTTTCAAAGCACTAAAATCTCCAATAATCAAAAATAAAGTATCATCTAGTAGAAAAATGGTAAGTGTCTAGGAACTTGTACTGGAGAGCAATGCAAAACAAATACTCTTAAGACGTGGATATGCTTATAAAGTTGCGTTGAAAGGTATATACAGATGCAAACCTTAAGCAGAACAGGATGGAGCTCCAATGGCCACATAGACATCTCTTATCGTAATACTGCTCTTTGCTGTCCATTTAGGACCAGAAGGGAGTCTCGATTGATTATTTCCGTACACGGTGGGATCTCCTCGAGCGATCTGTGAGCTGATCCACTTACTGTGTGGATGTGTTGAAGCACTAAAGAAACCTTCTTCCGTGAGCTAAGAGTGAGTTCCAAATATAGGTGAAAGCCATCCTTACAAAGTTTCAATAAAATAAAAAAAATTTGACAAAAATCCACCAGAATGTATACTTAGTCCATGTCTTATGGTTAGTTCTTAGACTTTACCTTTTCTAGTCCTTGACGTGTATGAACATCCAAAGGAAAGAGCTGCAACTTCATTTTTCCAGAAGGTCGTTGAACTGAATGGAGGTCAAGGACATGTATTTGTTGAGCTCCTCCGGCTTTGGTATTTGCACAACTTTGAACTTGAAAGGAAGGAGAATCAGAAGGTGACTTCTTATTCTCTCTTTTACTATTATGCTTTCCTGCCAACAAATCCTTGATAAGAACATTAAAAACAATACAAGTCATTGATAATAAGAATAATTTGAAATTACCAGAGTCATGGAATTTTTAGTAGTTGTTTTCATGCACTTATTGCCTCTGGTGAAGTTTCCTCCGTCTTTGATCTCCTTTGAGGACTCAGTTGAAGTCTCAGTTTTCTTTCTAGCTATTCTGCAAAAAAACAATCAAAACTCAAGAGTCAAAGCCTCTCCATTCACTGTGCTATTCCACATAGATTCATAAGGAAAGCTCCGACTATACAAATTCTTTCACAAACGAACTAACTACAATCAAATCAATTCAGAACTGCTAAGCAACACACAATTATAAATACAATCAAATCGTCCCGTTCATAATTTTTTTTTGATATTTAGCAAAAAAAAAAACACATTGTACATTATTTGAAGATTAGATTTCTCAGTTTGAAGTTTTTTGTAATCAGACACTAAGGACCTTCTAGCTTTTGCTGGATGAATCTGAAAGCAAAACCAAAGAAGGATTATATAGTAATGGATCATAAAAAAATCTCTCAAAGCACTAAAATCTCTAATAAGCAAAAATAAAGGATCATCTAGTAGAAAAAAGAGTAAGTGTCTAGGAACAATACCTTTGGTAAGAGTCTCAAGAACTCCACTGGACTCTAAATACTTCCTGAAAGCTTCTTTCTTGGCTTCTTTCTCCTGATTTATGTAGAAAAAAATATGAATATATCAAAAACTAAAAGAAACAGAGCTTTATGATCAACTCATTCTCTTCTTCGATCTCTTTTGCAACGTGCTTACCGGTTATTTCCGATGATGTCAGGTTATCCTCCGAGGATCGAAGGTTATGGTTGTAGTGGTGGAAATCAACAGACACCTCCTCAGCCACCTTACTCTTCCGGCAGAAACAATCCGCCGTAGGGTTAATTAACTTTCTTTCCTTAGACTGTGAATTGATTGATTTTAGATTGGAATAGTGAAACGGAAACGAAAAAGAGGGAGAGGAAAGAATTCACGATTCCTGGACACAAAATTATGGTTAATGAAAAAGGGGGTGAGGAAAGGTGACAACGTTTAGGATGAATTGGGCTTGCTGGGCTACGCAGGAAATCAACAAAAAATACCCATCAAACAAAAAAAGTCCAAAACACATAACACTTAATGATATGGCGAAACGAAATGTTTTCATTGACCGAATATAAGTGATGACGTGGATAGGCTGAATGTTGAGGATATTTCCCTTTTAGTATTGTATTAGGTGTTTTGTCCGCACTTGCAGGCATAATTCTCTTATAAATATTTATTAGTTTATGTTTCATTAATTTAAAAATTAGCATAGTAAGTTATTATTTATGTTTTCAAAATGTAAAAATCAAACATAAAATATTTAAAAGAATATATTTCTATAACTATTTTTCTTGAATAATATTTAATTATAATATTTATATCTTAATTTACAATTTTATATTAGAAAAGCATATTTTCAAGATAACAATATAATACATAATTTATTTATTTTCTGAAAATATAATATGATAATTTTTTAACTATATAATAATTATATAAGATTATAGAAATTATGACATATAGTTAAAATTACCTAAAATCATTGAGAACTTAATGAATCAGAAAATTCACTTCTTAAATAATTTTTCTTGAGTGATGATATATTTAATTAATAATAGATAATTTTCTATTTTGCTTTTAAATTATATAATATAAAAATATATTTTGAGGATAACAACATAATACATAAGAATTACCATATTCTCTAAAAGTATAATATTATTAGTGTAAATTTATTTCAATTATAGAATAACTACAACTTTTTATATCTTAATTTTAAATTTCTAATAGAAAAATATATTTTCAAGACATCAACTTAATACATAAGAAGTATTTTATTTTCTAAGAATCTGATACTATTAATATAATTTTTTAAAAATATACAATAAATTATATATAAAATTATATAAATTGATAAATTAGCAAAATTACCTAAAATCATGGAAAATATGACAAATCAGCAAACATCAAATTCACTTCTTAAATAATATTGTAGATTTTTTACATGTTAATTTTAAAATTTATAATAGAAAAATATTTTTCAAAGATAACAGCATAATACATAAGAATTAACTTATTTTCTAAAATATCATATTATTAAGATAAATTATTTTTAATTATATAATCAATAATAAACAAAATTTTAGAAATTCTGATCAATGATCAAAATTACCTAGGATTATAGAGACAAATAAACAAATCACTTTTCAAATAATTGTTTTGATGATTTATATTTAATTATTAATAAAATAATTTTTATATCTTAATTTTAAGTTTTATAATAGCAAAATATATTTTCAACATAACAACATAATCCATAATGATTATCTTATTTTAGAAAAATATTAAATTATTAATATAAATTCGTTTTCGATAAATATAATAGTGTTTATATCTTAATTTAAAATTTAAGTTTCATATATAAAAATATATTTCAAGATAACAACATAATTCACAAGAATTATCTTATTTACTAAAAATTATGATATATTAATATAAATTCGATTTTATTAAATAATAAATTTTATATGAAATTATTTAAATAAGATAAATAAAAAAATTTACCTAAAATCAAAGAGAAGTTGAAAACTAAGCAAATTTACTTCTTATATAATAGTATAGATAGATATAACTTCAGATCTATATCCAAAGTAATTGGTGTGGTCCATTACTGTTAAATTTAATACTCCAACTTTGAATCATAAATGTCAAGCAGGTGGGTCTTCGACCAACCGCATTATTAACTTGATTAACCGAAAATTATTATATACTACAAATAATAACAAATCAGGATTAAATATTAGGAATTTTATTTATTTTTCTTAAGAAAAAAATAATGCAAATGTTTATGTTCATAGTTCTTTTAAAAGTAATGAAATAGTTTTTTTTTTGCCTTCCAGGCATAGAGAGAAAGACGTCTTTTAAACTCTTCCTAAATTTTTATATACTTAATAAATTAGTCAAAAGGTGCCTTTAATCAATTATAGTTCTCATGTTAACACACCGGCCACTACTTAATCTTTCTGAAAAAGACATTTCCACTATTATTTTCCTCTTTCGTCTTTGACACATCTGTTAATGTTAACCTTTTCCTTAATAAAAATAGAAAGAATCGAGAGTTCAGTCCAAGTATCGACATCTAGGTCAAAAGTATCATTTCATCAAAGTGTATTCCAATGATAATCTTCTTAATCTAGTAATTATAACAGCTTTACTTTGGTAAGCAACTGAAATTTGCGGTAGATGTTAGACTTCTTTTAAGTATAGTTTCGTCTAATTAGTTAGTTCCATAATCTACAGGGCAGGAACTAAATCAAGTTCATTACTTATTTTCAACAACGCAAGTGCTCGAACTTGGTTACAAAGAAGTGTTCGATTTTGAAATATTTCCAGTTCTTTTAGATGGCTAAATGCAGGTTGGTTGAGTTACCGACATTATACTAGTTCTGTATAATACTTTATAATACGTGGACAAATCTAATATACGTATCCTTTAAATATTTAATCGAACCTACAACTTAGAAAATCAAGATTAATGATTTTACCTGGAGCATATAATGACCTTAACAAAATTTCATTCACAATCTTAAAAAAATCTCAAATTCACTTTTGAATCATAGTTAAACATGAAAACTTTTAATATCTTAACTATCCACTCACAGACTACACAAAGGTTATTTTTATGTTCTGTAGCGAACTTGTGAGTTACAAGTGTGACTATGTGAAGACGCACAAGTTAATCCTAGAAAAGTGTTAAAATGCATATATTATAGAATATTGGTATGTTGCATAAGCATAAATATATACATCTCAACTATTGATATGTTGTTAATCAAAAAAAAAAAAAAAACTATTGATATGTGATTGTAAACTTGTAACTATTGCATATAACTGTTTCTTAAGAAAAAAACGATAGCATATAACTGGAAATAATAGATTAATTACAGTGATGATTGATAGCAGGATAACAGTTGCGGATATTAATATTATAGATTACCCGTAAATGGAAACAATGTCAATCATGCCCTAACGGCCCCCCGTCACCACATCAGACATCAAAATATAGAGTTTAAATTATTTTACTAAGAAAAAGTATAAATTTTTAATTATTAATCAACCAACCTTTGACACGATTAGCAAGCTCCTATTCCCTAGATTATTTAGTTTTTTCTTCTTTTTTACGTGTTGATAAAATCCCTTATATATTAAAGGAGAAATATTTAAAAAATTGTAACCTCAATTTTGTAATAACTAAAAAAGACTCCATGCTTAGGTGTTACTCAATTAGGCAGTCAATTACATTCAATTGAAAAATAAGTTGGTCCACATTCAATTTTTATATGTCGCTAGATACATTCGTTGGTCAAATTATATGATATGATGATATGATATGATATTTATGATATAAGCATTTATGATTGTTCCATAGATATAATTACTATTTTATTTTCTTTACATAAATGAAACCTATGGAATTACCATAAATGACTAATATATATATATATGACACTTAATGATTCTAATAATAAATATTTGATAACAGTTTATATATCCTCCATCATTTTTCTTTAATTTTATATTATTAAAATAAATTAAACAATCAAATTAGCTATAAAATTAAACTTTAGATTTTTTCGTATAGGTTATATTTTGAATTTTGAAAAACGAGAATAAATAACTAAACTATTAAAATTATTATGTTAAAAGTTAATGATCAATAGTTTAACATTTTTATTATAAAAAGATATACATGATTTTAAAACCATATAAGTAAAAAGTATCATTCAATAATAAAACAAATATATATACAGATTAAACTATATAGCATATAAGATTACATAAATATTTTAATTTCAAAATCCTCAATAAATTTTCAAGAACATTTATAAATTATAAAATTATTAAATTTTTCACATTGAAAATTTTTGTTATCAATGATGTAAATATCTTAGTTCTTTTTTAATTTTATATTTTTAAAAGATATTAACAATCGATAATATGGTTATTTTTGGTATATACCATACAAACCGAATGGATGTGATTTTATAAAACCATAGGATCTGGATATGGTTTGATTTATAAACCGATTAAACTGAAACATGTAAATATGTATATATTTATAACGACGCATGAATATCTATTTGTTACATGAGTAGAACTATAATTATAATTTGTAAATAGCTAACCATTTATTACAACTTAGACTTCTTATTTTGATCTTTTGCTTTTTTAAAAGTAACTAAATTGAAGTAAAAATTATAAATTTGATGGACAACAATTAGTTGAAATTCTTTACGACTTTTTTTATCTTTAAACAAACAGAGTTGTGTTCAATCGAAGACATATTGGTTTGATGAACACTAAATATGGAAGAATATAAAAACTTTTCTTTCATGCTTTTGTTTTGTTTTATATTTTTATTTTCAAAATTAAGTGTTTTGATATTAATTCTAGATTTGATTATTTTATTAGATGATAGAAGCCTTTTTGTTTTTTATTCTTTTATTTAAATATATAATATTTTTTTAATAAATGACTATGTGACAATATGACTCTAAATATAATCATATTATATATTTGTATAATATATAATATGATCTCAAACTAAATAATCATGTTTTTGGTATAAAATTGAATAAACTAAAACCGAAGGTATAGAATAGTAGTTATATTTTAATAATCGAAATACCAAAAAATCGAAC